GAAGGGAAGACAAGCAAATTGTTGAAATACAAAATGTTTTCTTGTTCGCTTTTGTTTTATGTCTCCCTTTCTTCTTTTAATTTAATCTTTAAAATTCCTTTGGTGCTTGAAAGAGCAGTAGTCAGATGATCTCATCTTACAAGAATTTTAACTTTTTATGATCTCCAATGGATCCTTTTATAAACTCTTACCTTACATTTCCACAAGTACTAAGTAGCCATGGATATTCTCTCATGCTTGCTGGCAATAACCCTTATTCATGCTTCAAGTGGGTAATAATGAGTTTGTGTAGCCAAATATTTGTTTCTTCTTTATCCATTATTCTATGATTTTACATTTGGTTTACTTGTTTTTACTAGAGTATTTCAAATCACTTACTTGGTATTGTTAATAAAGGTCAAGATTATTGGTGTGGAGCCCTCAGATGCAAATGCAATGGCATTATCACTGCATCATGGTGAGAGAGTGATGTTAGATCAGGTTGGAGGATTTGCAGATGGTGTTGCTGTTAAGGAGGTTGGACAAGAAACGTTTAGCATATGTAAAGAATTGGTAGATGGCATTGTCCTTGTCAGTCGTGATGCTATTTGTGCCTCCATTAAGGTAAGACTTGAATGTATTGTTGTTTTCTTTTGATTTGTTCTTTTTGACTTATTACCATAAATGGGGTTATTTCTTTTAGAGAAGAATAGGGTTAGATGCAATCTTGTCCATTTAAGTATTATGTCATGATATCTTATTTGGTTGATTTTTTCATTGTTGTTGGTACCTCTTTCTTTTGTTTTCATGGCTTATTTCCAGCTCCTCTTTCTTTTGTTTAAGTATTATGCCATGTTATCTTATTTGGTTGATTTTTTCATTGTTGTTGGAACCTCTTTCTTTTGTTTTCATGGCTTATTTCCAGCTCCTCTTTCTTTTGTTTAAGTATTATGTCATGTTATCTCATTTGATTGATTTTTTCATTGTTGTTGGAACCTCTCTCTCTCTCTCTCTCATGTGGAGTCTGTGGGTGTTGAGGATTCATGATTGTGGTGCTTATGTTGCAGAACATGTTTGAAGAGAAAAGAAGCATTCTAGAACCAGCTGGTGCTCTTGCACTTGCTGGTGCTCTGGCACTTGCTGGTGCTGAAGCATATTGCAAGTATTATGGCCTTAAGGGAGAGAATATTGTAGCAATCACCAGTGGGGCGAACATGAACTTTGATAAACTCAGGGTTGTAACTGAACTTGCTAATGTTGGTAGACAACAAGAGGCTTTGCTTGCCACTGTCATGCCAGAAACACCTGGAAGCTTCAAGAAATTTTGTGAATTGGTATGCTTATCACTTTATAAATTGGTATTGTTCAATAAAATTTGTCACCATTAAATATCTATTCTTGTAACTGTCTTTCCTGAAATTCAATTGTAATGGCAGGTGGGGCATATGAATATTACTGAGTTCAACTACAGGTGTAGGTCTGATAAAGAGGCTGTTGTGCTGTACAGGTAAATAGTTCCCATTCTTTATCAATGATTAAGAGGTGTAAAATCAGTATATTGACTCTCATTTCTGAGCCATTTTCTTTATGATTTCCTAAACGATCTCTTGTTCTACACTCTGGAGGTCTTTTTACCTTTTGTGTTGTTGATTAATTTCTTCCTTTTGTATTTGAAAAAGAGTTCCATCTGGGAATCAGAAATATATTAACTGAGGGATTTTATTTTTGCTGAGTGCAGTGTTGGTGTTCACACCATATCTGAGCTTAAAGCAATGATGCAGAGGATGGAATCTGCTCAACTCAAAACTCATGAGCTCACAGCAAGTGACTTGGCTAAAGATCACTTGCGCTATATGGTAATTTTTAATTTCTGATCAGTTGTTGTCCGTTCTTGGACATTTACTACAGCATCAGTTTATCTGATTCAGTACCTTGTCAAGAGTTAGAATAGTGTCCCATTTCAATATATTGGTCCTAAATGCAGTGTTAAACTTGTTGGAAACAATATTGTACCATTCTGTTCTTGGATGCTAACTTGTCATCATCTTTCAGATGGGAGGCAGATTAAGCCTTGAAGATGAGATACTTTGTCGCTTTGTCTTCCCAGAGAGGCCTGGTGCCTTGATGAAGTTCTTGGATGCGTTTAGTCCTCGTTGGAATATTAGTTTGTTCCATTACCGTGGTCAGGTTGCCATCTCAAATCTTCATTGTCACTAATTTTGTATTATAAAATATAGTGGCTTATGTTAAAACTTTTACCCTATCTTATTTTGATTTCATCCTTTATAATTCCCATTCAACAGGGTGAAACTGGTGCAAACGTGTTGGTTGGAATCCAAGTCTCAAAGAGCGGGATGGATGAGTTTCACCACCGAGCCAACAGCATAGGATATGACTATGAAGTGGTAACGGACGACAATAACTTCAAAGTCTTAATGCACTGAATAAAATCAGGTTGATTTTCTTCAGCTCAAGTGAACTATCAAAGTAAGCGTAAGCACATTCTAGGAGCTCTTGTTGTATTCATTTGCAATCCTCTTGAACTCGTTGAAGGTTAGGGATTACGGTTATCATCCATTCCTTTTTGCAACTTATGGAATCCGAATAGGGTATGTTGAAAACAAGTTTGCAGGAGTTTTATGAATGTTAATCGTGGTTGGCTAGTCTTTTTGGTGGTTTTGTAAAACGATTGAGATATTCGTTATAATATATGACGATGTGCTTTGATGGTATTACAAAAATCAATGTACTTACAAACAAATTTGCCTAGTGTAGCTAACAGTAACACTCTGGACCATATCTGGTCCTAGTGGCATCTTCCCCTTAAAAAAATTCAAAAAAAAGATAGAGGCGGGAACATTAAGGTCCCGAGCCTTGTCAGGTGCACATAACACTCCTGTAAACGTTATATGGAAAACAATTTGCTGGAGGAACTGGTTCTTGAAGCTTCAAGTAAAATGTGAATGGGTGACGATAACACAACAGCATTTTCTATAACCTCTAGAGTGCCATAAAGCTGAAACTAATTCCCTCGGAACGCGGCAGGAAATTCTTTGCATTTTTATTCTAGCCAAATAGAGACACTGATATTGAGGACTAAAGGCATGAACGTATGTAATTATAGGGTGCTAAACATGCCTCCTCTCCTGGAGGTAAGGAACTTTATTTCAAAGCCGTTCTCTTTCAGGACGGTTTCTGACTCACTGTGACTTTTTCATTCACTCATAAATGCTCCCCTCCAGGCCTTTAATTCTCCCTCACCTACTCTTTCTTCACCTCATTTTAAGACCTGTGTCTAGAAAAGTAAGGTTTATTGCTCAGAGAAGGGAAAAAAAGCATGGGATTTCCAAGCATGGTGGTGAGTTCCTTACTTGTTATTGTTTCGGTTGCATGGGTGGCTAATGGAGATTCTCTTGTTCCGGCACTCATCATCTTTGGGGACTCTGTTGTTGATGTTGGGAACAACAACAATCTGAATACACTCATTAAGGCAGACTTCCCTCCTTACGGAAGAGACTTTGTTAATCACCTGCCCACCGGAAGATTCTCTAACGGAAAGATCGCCATTGACTTCACCGGTAACATCCCATTTCTCAAGAATTTACTCCACCTTGATGAGTAGTTGCTTTCTGTCCATCTCATGTTTGTTTTGTTTCTCTATGCACCAGCTGAGGACCTGGGTTTCCCTTCATATCCACCTGCTTACCTTAGCCAAGAAGCTAGAGATAATAACAGAATCTTGACTGGAGCCAACTTCGCCTCCGCTGCTTCTGGATATTACGACGGCACAGCACAGTTATATGTAAACGATGAGATCCCAGAATCTGTCGTTTCATCTCCTCATCTCTAGTTGCCTATGTATGATTGACTCCTTTTTTTTGACTTTGCAGGCGGCAATTCCATTGACGCAGCAGTTAACATACTACAGAGAGTTCCAAGCAAGAGTGGTGGATACAGTTGGAAGAGCTAGGGCCAATGACTTGTTCGCCAGTGCAATTCATCTTCTGAGTGCTGGGAGCAGTGATTTTATTCAGAACTACTACATCAGTCCCCTGCTCAACAGAGCCTATACGCCAGATCAGTTCTCAGACAATCTCATAAGATCCTACTCAACTTTCATTCAGGTACTTCGAATGTTTCTCCACTTAACCGCGGAAGAAAAATATCACGCATCACCTTGCATCTTAAACAAACAATTATGCCAGTCATGCCTCAAAGCATGTCTCAACTAGTAAAAACTTGAGATCAAATCCTCTATAACTCATCATATGTATGAAAATAATAATTATGCCTGTTATTCATATGTCTATAACATTACAATTGATTATATTCATAAAGGTTGAACGAATTTTGAATCTTCAACATGCTCTTTAAAATGAAAGTATAGTTTATCATTGACCCACGAAAAAAGAAAGAAAAGCAATCACTATTAGCTCAAGTCTGTTAAAGTGTCACCATTGTTTACAGAATCTATACGGATTGGGAGTAAGGAGAATAGGAGTGACAACCCTACCACCGACAGGATGTTTGCCTGCAGCCATTACGCTATTTGGTGCAGGAAGCAACGAGTGCATCACAAGGTTGAACCAGGATGCAATTTTATTCAACAGTAAACTGAACAGCACATCTCAAAGCCTGGTGAACAGGTTCCCTGATCTCAAACTTGTGGTCTTTGATATTTACCAGCCTCTCTTAGATATGATCACAAGGCCAGCTGAAAACGGTAAGGTGCTTACTCTGCAAAAAGTGGTTAGCCAACATGTAAAGCACTGGTAGATAAAACATATATTGAACAAATAGCATTTACTAGTACGAAATTTTTTGTGTGAATATATACTAATGTGAAGGTCTCATCATGTCTTTATTTGCAATTTTAATTTATATTACAGGGTTCTTTGAGTCAAGAAGGGCTTGCTGCGGAACAGGTACAGTAGAAACATCTATGCTCTGCAATGCCAGGTCCGTAGGTACATGCTCAAATGCTACAGCATATGTGTTTTGGGATGGTTTCCATCCGACTGAATCTGCTAACCGGATACTGGCGGGTAATCTACTGGCACAGGGAATATCCCTCATCTCTTGAAGCTGCCTCTATTGTAATTGCCAATGTTCTCATTCACTCCTGCCATCCTGTACTAGATGGTATATTAGATGCAATCAAGAATTACTTAGCACTTTGTTGGTTTTACCATTTTAGTAAGAGAGTTGAACATTCTCATATGTACAACCTCCTCAGTTTTACTTGTAGCAACTGTGCAATTTCATGATTTTCTCCTGTGGAAAATCTTAAACATGAATCCTTGCCTTGGATGATTATGGTGATAATGGTTTCTTCAGGACTACATTTTATTTAAACAATTCTTCTAAGCATTGACACCAAATGCCAGGTTATGATATATATGGTTAGATACACTTGCATTCATTTTAGTCTTACATAAATTATCAGTAGCAGTCCTACAATCTAAATGACATTGTTTTGAATGCTTGGGCCTAGAATGGACATGAAAATTCTATGATTTACAGAACTCAATCATTTCATGCATCCCTACTTTTCCAGACAGCTGAACTATGACCCCAAATGGACCAATAAATGGTGCTTGAGCTTTCGAATGAAACATCTAGGATAATTTTGACTTCCGCAACATTATGGCTCATTAGAATTGATAGAAATGCAAGTAATTATTTGTTCAGGAAACAGGAGTTATTTCAAATTTACCTGCATATCAAGTTGCCAAGGATCATTAAGAAAGTTCAAATCCTGCATTGGAACTGATTGCATAAAGAAGCTTTGCTCTCAGTGTGCTTAAACGCTTATATGTTGGAAGCTGTAACCATCCAGCAGAGACATTTAAAACTTACATCTTAGTCTTGAAATTATAAACTCCCCATCCCTAATGAAAGTAATAATAATAACAACCTAAAAAATGTAGAAAAAGAAAAGGAAGAGAAATGCAAGCAGTTGTCTAAAGTTCGATACTTCGGGTTCAGAGTACCTTGAGGGTATTGTAGCACGTAGAAGCAGATGGAAGCCGCTCTACATCCTGTCCTCCAATTGTTGCCCAAAGAGGTGCATCACTTGCAACCTAGACAAGAACAAGATCAAGATTGCTGACTTTATTTTACTTAACTGATAGGATTGTGAAATATTACAGTCAACCTTTAAATGCAATTCCACTTTAAGTCATAAAATATTGTTCTAAGCTACCTAAGTGTCATATTAAATACTTGGAAAATGATGACATCCATATTTCATTTCAGCTGCTACTACTACTACTACTACTACTACTACTACTACTACTACTACTACTACTATTATTATTATTATTATTATTATTATTATTAGTTTCAGCTTCAAGGGGTGTTATTAAAAGAATACCTTATGAATGGATCAAAACAATACCTTATGAATGGTGAAAGATGGCTGCAAATATTTGAATCCAAGCAATGGAGCTCGTGAACAACTGGTCACAAATTTAAGTAGCATGCACCGTTCTTTTGGTTCAAAACCTTTCATAACCTATACAAGGTGAAACAAATTAAGAGATATTGCAAGGACAAAAAAGTCAATTCCGTGACCATAAGTAGATATTCTTAAGAAAAGCAGATTACATTATTATAAAATTTCATTCAGGGAACAATACAATGTGATGGCATAACTTTAAAAGAATCAGATTATAAGGTCTGCTATATTGGTTGCTCCTAGGATTTTCTATCCTCTTTAAGTCTGATGCCTAGAGCAACCTAGGTGCTACCCTAGGGTTCTTTCTCTTCCTACTCTCTTTTCCCTACCTCTTCATCCCCAGTTTAGCCTAAAATGAGCCCCTTAAACCCTAAACCCACCGTACCTGCAAACAGTCCTGCATCATTATGAGTTCAAAATTTGGTTACTGAAAGCAAAAATGCTTTTACAATGGCGAAAGCATTTGCATATTAAGTTGCAATGAAGCTAGTAGGCTAGTCAAAAAGAACTATAAATTGGACTCCTCTGCTCAAGATTTTGAAATCTTACAAAGAATGAAAAATCAGGGGAAGCTAAGGAGTACAAAGGATTGAAAACAGAAGGTATCTGGATTAAAGAAACCATGCAGTGACTTCCACAATAAAGGTAAAGTTAACTTCCAACAGAAAATACCTCCCAAAAAAGTTTAATAGTCCGGCTTCCCTCCGAATAACCACCAGTATATCGTGTGTTATTTCTTAAATCATCCACATCAATATCATGGTTTCCACCTGAAAGTAACTGCATCAAGTAAAGATGATAATTAAACATTTATATAAAAAACTTGGACTCAAATTGAAGCACATTTGGAGGGAAAATACCTGATTGAATTCACTTGCATTAAATAATTTCAACCAAGAAGGAGATATGAGATCAGTCAACCCTCGATAAAATGCATTTGAGAAGCGCAGCATCTGCATTTAAAATTGAAAAGAAAATGTTGGGCTTGAGTTAATTCCAGGAAATATTTATTTATTTAAATTTCCATACTGAAACAGTGAGATACCTGCCGATTGAGCTTGTAATCTGCCATTGCATGAATGTACTGCATCTTGTTTTCGTTGGTCACATTAACATCCTTGCCACCAGGTTTAAGCTCAATAATATGCCGTTTACCAAATGATTCCTCAGTAACTGTGAAATCCAGGCAGAGCTCCTTGACATCACCCTCATAATGCTGTAATGAAAAGCATTCATAAAATGTAAACATCCTATTGGACTTTCCAACTTGCTTGTATATCTCACACATTCAGACTTCAAAACCATCACATACAAAGAAAATAAAATTTGTCCTTTTATTAAAGGTGATCAACCCAAGCCTATGTTTTTCTTTAACATCAAACATAGTTGACGGCCAACAAGACTGCACTTCCATTAGCCTAGAAGGTGTTTTGAGTTTCACTCTAGGAGCCACCCAGCGTTAAACTTAAAGAAAGTATGTATGTTCAAACATACTCAACAAAATGGCTAAGTGAGAGAGAGATAAAGGAATAATGGCCAAGCATAAGGCACAAGCATAACTAGAGAAATGGTAGAGTCACCACAATGATATTACCTTGACATACATAAGATTCCTGTACAGCTCTGGATCAAGTGTTGAAAGTTCATCGAGAAAGCTATAACGGCCTAACAGCTTTTGTACAAAAACATGTGAAAAAGAGTAATCCAGCAAAATTCCTTCATAAAGTGCTTTACCAACAACTCTTCCAAGAAATTCAATCATCTGGATACCATTTTCTAGATATCTTGCAGCAGCATTAGGGATTAGAAGTCTGTCTGAAGTTGATGTTTGGGTAAATAACCCATACCTACAGTAAAGAAAGACCAATTTGTTAACAGATAACAAAGTAGCTCCCTTCCTGAAAAGCACATAAAAACATAATGAAGTTAGAAATAATGTCAGCACCACCATGAACTTACTGGGGAGAAAAGGCTTCTTTTGATATATCTGTTAGAAACTCTTTAGACAATCCACCATAATCCAAGCCAGCTTCTGGAAGGCCACTTTCACTAACAAATGATACATGAATAGATGACTTCAACCTTGACCCAAGGGAGTTTAATTGCCGAAAGCCATCCTCAACAATATGACCTCGACGAACTACTATCTCAACTGATCGTGAACCAGGTCCAGTGACTTCACCAGCCATTTTCCTAGAGACTTTATCAATATTGATAAACTCTCTAAACATTTGAACTCTGCAAAATTAAAAACCAAGTAAAGCAATATGCTTTTCCTCACTCAAACAAAACTAGTTTAATTTACATTTAAATGCAACTGAAGACAATGAAGATATTCAATGTATATCAAATCTTACTTTGCACTTAGAACACAATAACAGAGTTATTAGCTTTGTCGTAGCCTAAGGAACCTACCAAATTATATGTCCAATTAACATGAAAACCCTAATTAGAATTCTATTCTAAAACAAGCCACAACACATGCAGTATAGTCATAAAAAAATGCTGTGGTTACCTTTCTTCAAATGGAAACACATGTGGAGTAGCACTGACAACAGAACCCATATTCTGAACAGTCAAATCATCATCTGCTCTCAAACTACAGAATAGAGCTTCATGAGTTCTTGCAGCTACTGCAACTGTGGGTCTGCTCATTCTAGCAGGCGAAAGCCACAAAACAGGGGGGCAGAACTGGTGCCTGCAATCTCTTTCATAGATTAGATGCAAGCATCTGATTGCAGAGTCCATAAGGGGTTTATATTGTCGACCCACACTATGAGATAAGCCATTGTACACTAGGGTATTAAGTATTGATGCAATTCTTCGTTGTTGCTCAAGTGTGAATGGAACCTATCTCGTGCAGAATATGCTCCAATTAGAATTAGTATCATCCACAGCTCAAAAAAGTTCAATAAAAAAAGGACGAATGAATAATCTATTTTACCTGTTTTTCATAGAACTCTATGTCATCAAGAACTAACAGCAGGTGAGAATATGTCGCACAGAACAGGTGAAGCAGATACAATGTATTTTTCGAAACACCTTGAGGCCCACCCCGTAGAGATTCTACATCCCAAACATCACTAGAATCATCACCAACCTGGTCATCATGAACTGAATCTGTCTGTTTATCCTCTGCTTGTGATTTACCAGTAAATTTATGAAGTACGTTTACCCACTTATTTACTCCATCCTTATTGGCTTGTTTTAGCTTTCTATCAACACCATCCTTTTTCTTCCTTGAAACTTTGCTTGTCCCAAGACAACTATCCCCAGCAGTGGGATTATTTCCAGGAAAAATGAAGCTTTCAAGAACTTCCCAAAGGTTGCCAAGAAATCCAGGGGTAAAAGCTAGCATATTAAGAACTGGCAATGACTTAGTAGAGGGATTTAAAACAGCAAAAATTCTAAGCATGTAGGAATAAAAATGTGCAATATCAAGCAGTTCCAACACCCCAAACTGTTCCATTTCATTCAGAGGCAGAGTTGTGGTCCCATGTCTATTAGCATCTCCATCTGTGCTTGCCAAAAGCTTTTTAAGATGCCACTGCTGATGAACAGGTCTAAATAGGTCAATGTAGGACATATTTAAGGACCCATATTTTGTTTGACCCTCCGGTGATGCAATACTTGAAGACTCTCTTGAAGTCTCAATGTTGCCTAGAAAATCTTCATTCTCCTTTTCAGTCCATCCAACACTGTCAAACCAGGCCAGTAAATTGTCTGCAAGAGTGATGACTACATGGACATAGGATGGATAGGCTTGGTTCATCCTTCCAGGGTCTGTAAAGTCACTCTCACTGCCTGCAGCTAGACATACAATGTTTGCAAGAGCCCAACCAACAGGAGGAATCACCTTGGAAGAATGTTGTACTTTTGACCCATCAACATATGACATCTTTGTGAATATTTCGTCTCTTGAAATCTACCATCACCTGCCAGAGTTTGATAAGTCCCATGTTCCTTCAAGAATAAAATTATCTACGAAGTTAAATTGATGTGGAAACTACGAGTTACATGACATGAGACATTACTAAGAAGTTAAATTGATGTGAAAACTAAGTTCTACATGACTTGTGACATTAGTAATAAGAAATATTCTCACTTGAATTATAAGGAATGAATTTGCAGCACACACCAACATAGAATAAATATGCTAGATGATAAAAATAAACACATGATGTCATTTGAATGCAAAACATCCCAGTTAGAAGCACTTAAAAATTCATGTGAAGAACTCCCAGAGTATTTGTGAAAATAGTCAGCAACAGTCACAAAGGAGACCGGCAAATGATAATTTTTGACAAAGTGAAAATGTTGTGAAGTATGTACACAATTCATAAGTGCTCTACATGAGACATATTCTTCCCTATAATAGTTGTAAGATCAAGCCTTACCAGTAGCATCCTCAAACATGGTGACAGAACAGACGTGTGCTTCAAAGCAGGTAGAAGAATAGCTGGTAGCCGTTGAGCAAGCCAGGGAATTGTAAGAAGAAATAAACAGTATTGCTCAGCAGCATAACTGACACCATATGGGGAAGGACCAGTTACATCAACTTTTATTACATTAAATGGCCGTATAGCTAGAGTAATTGCACTTGCAATTATCAAGAATGTATCATCTGTCTGGACAATATTATTTGTTTTTGAAGAATAGGAAGGATCCAATTTGTTTATGTATTTTCTAATAGATGCATAGAGAGAACTTTTTTGACTTCCCAAAAAGCAAACTAAGCCCTTCACTGCTGCATCTGCATCTTGAAGATTATCATCAGTAGTTATTTTCCAACCCTTCAGATCAGTTAAAAAAACAACTAGTCGCAATGCCAGAGAAGTCACAACAAGAAAATCATGTCCCCTAGCACAGGATCGATCACATTCAGCAAGAATAAAGGCGGAGAGAGTAACAAGCTTCTGAACTTGATAAGTCCATGTTCTCCTCTCTTCAAGAGTACCCATGACCAGTGAGCAAAAGTTCTTCCTTGAATCTACAATAAATTAGAACATTAGTAAGTGGTAATTCAACAAGATGCTTAATTGGGAAAGGAGGTGAATAACTAAAACTGCATGACATAAAATAGGCCCGTCATGAAATCTTAGAGAACAAAAATATTCTTAAGACTAATGATGCAAATCCTACAGGCTATATTCACACCAAGCAAGCAAGACTCATGGTTATTCTCATTATCCATCCACATTTTACTATTACTCCTTCAAAATTTATTTATCCATCTAAAAATACTTACAATAAAAAGGTTACAAAATGTATTCAGGTTGACATTTTCTCAATAATTGCTAAGTGTTGCACAAGTTCTGCAAAACAAATGAATAAACCCAAGCAAAAATGTTTTCAAATTGCAAATGGTAGATTCTCTCAATGGTGATTCCATGATAGAAATAAAAAAAGGGTTCAGAGCAGACCAATTGATTTTGATTTTCTACTATTTTGCAGATATTCCCCACGATGATGGGTAAAAGACAGACAAGACCAGTGATGACTATTCTTGATGAAATTGAGAGCAAAACAGATATTGCCCACTATATTGGTGAAATCAAATGCATTACTATTTGGGAGTGAATTCCTAGAAATAATTCCAGTTCTGTCCTACGTGAGTTAGGCCACTCTTAGTATTTTAACATCAGAGTGAAATTCAGTGAATTGTATATCATGTCTGCTTCACTCAGTGAATTACTTACCAAAAAAAAAAAAGAAAAAATCTGCAGGTATCTACATGAAAGAAAGCTGTTGACAAAACCAAATTCACTTAAATCATCAGAGATTTGATATTGTTTGTTAACGATTGCTGAGTCACACCACAACAATGGTCCAATAACATATCATGAAATAATAGAAGCAATTTGAAAACCTAACACCATAAGAATACAGAAATGAACAGCTAAATAACCAATGAGGTTAGATAACTAACATACCAGTAGAATTTACGCTTTCCAACAGGATTTTAAAGCAACACTGCATACAGCTCAAATCTCTGGAGGAGATCTTTTGATGTCGAGTAGATAAATGCGAAATGAAGAAGAGAAAAGGCCTCAAGACACAGGTAGAAATCCATGTTCCACTCATCAAATCAGCATGATTCTTCATCAGGGTTTCCCATTCTGCTTGCAACCGAATGGCTTCCTTCGTTGTCACATTATATCCCCTCCAAACCCTCTGAAAAACGTTAAGCAGAAACCATTGCACAATAAAATTATAAACATCTGATCGTTTCGAAGCATTGCACAGAACTCGATCACTCTTTCAACAACAGTACCAGGAAAAACGAAATCATTCACGGATTTAACACCGAAATTTTCCATTGCAACATCAAATTACTGAAATAAGCAGACAAATTAATAGAAAATTTCATTAAAAAAAAATTGTAACCTGAATCAAAACTGCAGCTGCAGCAGCTCGTCTTGCGTAGATGCGCTGCTCTCTTTCCTGCGAAACCTTCTCCAGAAGCGCATCCCTGGATATCTCCCTTGCGCTTGCTCCTCTCAAGGAAACCTGATGAAGGAATCAACAAAAGTAAGCAAAATTCGAGAAATCAGTGGTCGATTTACACAGAATCGGGAAGCTGAGGACCTGATGCTTGCGAGGTTCGTCCATGGATAAGAAGCAACTTCGATTGTTTTTCGAGTTTTCGTCTGTGTGAGGGGATTGAAACCGCAACGACCAGCTTATTTATTATTATGTCTCTCTTACGTGATTCTTCTTACGCGCACCTAACGTGAGTTAACTTCACCTTCCATCGGTTGAGCTGTTAAGGAATGCCATCAACAATGTTTTTTTTTTTTTTTTTCCAACCGAACAATGAATAGATTTGTCTCTTTTGTCTCTTAGGCAAGCAAAACTCTATTTATTATTGTCATATCATTATATTCAAATGGATGGATGAATACTTCCAAAATAAAGGGTTTTTTTTTTTTTTTTAAATATGAATTATATTAAACTACAAGTTTTTCTATATTGTATGAGAAATATTTTTTAATTTTAAGGATAGTCCTTTAAAGTAATTAATATTTTGTACTTAATATAATTTTAAATATAAAATAATAAACTACATATTTAATATTTAGGATAAAAGTTGCAAGAATGCATTGTATAAAAATAAATTAGGTGTAAATTTTTACATTTTAAAAAATTTCAATTTTTACATTTTAAAAAATTTCAAGATGGTTGTGTAAGAATTTAGGTTTTGTTTAAGAGTGATTTGTTACGCTGTGTTATGATTGTAGTTATAGGTTTTTTACTATATTATCTCAAAAATATATAAAATAATACTCTTTTAATATGATGTAGTTGTTCTAATTTAATTTTTGAATAAAATTTGATCAAATAATTTTATATAATAAATAAATGATAATTGAAAATTTTTTTCCTTACATACATAATTTTTATTGGGTATTTTCATTTAGATAAAAAAAATTTCAATTGTCATTCATTTGTTATATAAAATTATTAAGTTAATTTACATAAAATTAAAGGACTGGGACAACTAAAAAAAACTATAGAGAATAATTAAATTAATAAAAATATATTAAAAATAATTAATAATAATAAATTTATATTTTTAAATAAAGTGTTGTGTAAAAAAAAATAATGTAAAGTATTAAGTATTAACAAATAAAGCATAATATATCTAAAAAAATATTAATATTAAAAATTTTAAATTAATAGATATTAGTTGAACCAAATTCTCACCTAATACATTTCTAAAAGATCATAATATGGTAGGTGATTTTTTCTCTTTTGGGAAATAGATAATCTAACAATTATTACATTTTTTGTGTGTGGGTTAAATGGTTGGAGAATGAATTTTGTCATTAGTGGGCCTTTACTTTTAGAACGCTATACTACCACGATCCTCACTACTCACTAGGTAGTGGGAAGTGGGACAAGACAGACCACCGCCACTCCACCCGTAGCGTGGGGTCGAAATGAATGTCTTTCCACCGAAAGAGTACAAATTCCTGTAGGCCCATTATTCCAAAATAAATGGGTCTAAGCTTTCATGTACCGGGAAAATTAAATGGGCTTAGAATTTAGAAGACTCCAGAAGCCCATCAGATATCACCCTGGGAGAGACTGACTAGTGACTAAGAACTCACAATGGATGGAGTAACCCAAGAAACAAATCCACTTCTTTCTTGAGATTGAGTGAGAGACTATAGCTTTGTTTGATTTTAGGATGGGAGGGGAGGCAAAGAGGACAAGTTTTTTTATTTGAATAAAAATATTAAAGGAGAGGAGCAGTTTGTCTTTATTTTGCTTTAATTTCACCCCACTCCCTACCTCACTGTTTCGCTGAAACCATAGATGGAGTTAAATTTGTATGATTTGAAGAAAATAAAAGTGATGAGAGATAATTTCTTCAAATTAAATTAAAACGTTATTTATAATAAAATTTTAGTTGAATTGATACTTATTAATTTAAAAATCTTGATCTGAAATTAAAGTTAGAATGTTTAAATCTCTGTATTGTTAAATATTTAACGCTCTTATGTACCAAAAATAGAATTAAAATGTTATTAAATGACACCTAACGTGAGAAAATAATCTTTTATCTTTCTTATGCTCTTCTTCTCAAACCAAACAACTCCTTAAAATTATTACTTTAAGGGTTGGTTTAATTGTGTCTTGAGGGTGTATTAAATATATATTTTTATTATAAATTTTATTAAAACATTAAACTTAATATCAATTTTTACATTTTTTTATATGTATATCTATGACAAAAATATGTATTTAATACACCCTTAACTTGTAATTAACCTATGTTCTTAGAAAAATCCTTATTTTAAAGGTTTTTCTATTAAGATTTTCTTTAGGCCAACTTATTAAAAGTGTATTAATTATATTTTTTAATTATTAAATTATGTAAAAAACCCAAAAAAAAGAGTAAATATTAATTTTAACATTAATGTCATGTGTATTAATTTAATTAATTAATTATTAAAATTAAAATTAAAATTTATTTTTATATAATTTAATGATTAAAAAACACATTAAATACATCCTTAATATATCTTAAGAAACTCATTCTTTAATTCTAATTATTGGCAAAAGAATGAGTGCCTTAATTAATCAATTCGTACACTACTACCGGAAAATGAATTATTTTGGGAAACAGAAATTGATGAAGATTTGACTGTCGTCGATAAATGACCATAGGATTCACCACAATGCCACATGCACACAAAAGCATGCAGCCATGCATTGCGACAGCTGGCCGATGACCTGCTACTTCGATCTAGAGTCTTGACTCAGTGCTCCCCAGTCCCCATTGTGCAATGTTCTTTGGTTTTGTTCCCTTTCTCTTTTCTTTTACTCCTACATGCACATGGAAGAGAGTGTTATATATATTGGTAATGGAGAAAATGTGCCAAATTAAAATTGTTAGTTGAAATTATCGAAGAGAGATCTAGCTCGTAAATGGAATTAGAAAGAGCCACGAACAGGTTTTGCAGTTGCTCTTGTCTCGGTAGATATCTTCTTCTTGGTGTGCATTGGAAAATTATTGGCACAAAGAGTCAGTCAAAATTTAATGTTTAAGACAAGGTCATTTTTTTGTTAAACTATTACTCTTAGAGTCTAATGAAAAATTGATGTTAATTGATAAATTTAATCAATTTCTTTTAAAAAAAAATTTAAGGTGGTAATTTACTTTTAACTCATTTTTTATTAGGTGTTAATTTTCTTGGACTCGAATATATTGGAATTTGTACATTTGGGTGAAAATTAATGGCTTAAATTTGCTTTTGGGTTTGGACTTGCAAGATATGTTTAAAAGAAATTGTGGGTACTTTGAAATTATTATTATAATTATTATTTTGTATATCATGAATATTTTAATTGTTTGTCATTCAAGATTTTGAATTTTTTATCTTAATCTCAAATTAAAAATTTTAAACTAGTAAGTATTAAATTGGTTAAGCTTTTTATAATGCCACAAATCTTATATCGAAATGAAATTATGATTGATATATAAATATAAAAATTAACTACTACAAATAACTTAAGTTTGATTTTTTGAGAATTCGTGAATCTTAATTGAAAGAGTTATTATGTCAGTACTAAGCTTTGGCCTGGGTGATTTCACTTTTATTGGTGTCACAGGTAAGACTAATGTGATTAAAGAAATTAAATTAGTAACACTACTGTAAAATTTCAGTAACTTCTTAAATTTAATGAATACTACACTAATTGATTAGTTAGGCTAACACTTGCCTTTCCTTTTCTCTATAAAGTGAAAATAATATAATTATAATATTACATAATATTATAAATTTATAATATAATATATTATTATATAATTAATTTTTTTATTTAAAAATCTACATATAATATTGTATATATTCACTTATTAAATAATATGTCATACTTTTTTAATAATACATCATATTTGTAAAGTTACAATCCTATGTTGTAACTATATTATTGTCATTTGTAAAGTGAAAAATTAGGAGAAAATGTATGGAAATATTGCTAGGTATGGGACCATGAACAGGGTATGTACATTTTGTACGGTGGAATTTAATTAGGCGGTGGGGTCTATACAGCTACGGTGGAAAACATTAATCTTCAGGTGGTGCCGGTGCCCGTGCCGGTGCGTTAAAGTCTTAGTAAAGAGTGCCGGAAGATGCGGCGGCCGGCAGCCGGCATCCGGCATTAAACTCCATAAGATATCAGGAGTGTATTGCTCATCATTTTCAAGCCCCAAAAAGTGGATCCATAACTAAAATAAAAAAAATTTATATATGTACGCCAAAGGATGAAGAACAGACAAATCTAAAGTTCTAATTGAAAAAGAAACTTTAGTCTTCCTAGATAGGAAACAAGGTATGTTCCCTTATCAACTAATCTACCATCGGAAATGATATTATTAATTACAATACCACCACGTAATATTAATAAAATAAATAATAATATTATGTGGTATTTAAAATTTATAATTATAATATATTATTATACAATTAATTTTTTTTAAATTTACTTATAAAATTATATGTATTTATCATTTTTAAATTTAACACTGTAATGACAAATCAGTTTGAATAAAATTTACTTATAAAATTATATGTATTTATCATTTTTAAATTTAACACTGTAATGACAAATCAGTTTGAACAGTTAATTGAATGCGAGACCTGCTTCTTCAATTGGTTTTTTTTTTTTTCGAGTCGCATGTACCCATCACCCAGAACCCAGATCGATTTTTTTTTTCTTTTCCTTTTTTTCTTCGGCGAAAGTGTTATATTTGGAGGAGAATCAATTTGTAATGTCTAAATTTGCAATTTCTGGTAAAAATTTATCCTAGTATGGAAGGAGTAAGCCAGAAGC